ACACATGCAACACTCAACATGCCTAAATAACAATAGGATTTTTTTTTTGTTTTTTTACATACTAGAAGAAAGAAAATGGATCATAAGTCTTATCTTGTACCCACACTTTATTTATTTTTTATTTTTTTCTTCTTTTCTTCTCTTTTCTTTTCTTTCTTTCCTTCTTCTTCCCTTGGTTTTCTTCTTCTTTCCCTCTTTTGTTCTTGATCTACCCGAATATCCCCAAGTGCACCCCTTTTTTTTGTTTCTTTTTTGCATGCAATACATGCATGTCTTGCTAAGTGGAAGTAACCACTTCTTGTATATACTAATACATTTTATTACATTATTATTTGTTATTTTTTAACAATAAATTGATGTCACATGCTTGTCACCCGAATTAATTCCATATGCGCTAATGTACATAAAATAATAAAATAATATCACAAGTCAACATTCTTATTTAATTTTTCACACTTTAAATAAAACAATTCTCCCTATAATCATTTTTTATAAAATTATCTCTAAATATTTAAAATATTCATCGTTCATATTTAGGTCTCATATCATTACTCATAATTAAATACTAAATGTCAATCCTACGCATGCATGTCACATGTGAATATGCTTATGACAAATATTATATATTGGTCATGCGTGTTCAAGTCTTACAGGAAGGGTGTTTCTGGATGTGTTTGTGTGTATGTGAATCAGAGGATAGAGAGTGGAGACGAGATAAAGAAATACTGATTAACCTTGATTAGTATATAAATCAGAGTAGTTAAATAAATCAAATTAATAAGATAAAACAACCAAAAATGGTTAATTAAAGTCAATTAGGGTTTTGTGCGGGAATTAGGGTTTTTAATATTTTATGTCCAAAGTTTCAGGGTTTAATGCAAAATTATCGAAGAATACGAGGAACAAAGCGTCAAGGCTTGAAACAACAAAGGCTAAAGTATAATTCAACCAAGAGAGGAGTCAGCATGCCAAAATGATAAAGCTCCAGCAAGGTGCCACTGTCCAGACGGTGGGAGTGCCGTTCGAACTGTCCTCTAAGTCGGCCAGACTTTATCTCTCCACCTCATGCTCCCTTCTTCACTATAAATATGCATGCCCTTCTCTATTTGCAATAGGCCGAACACCAAGAGCTCCAGAGAGAAATCCAAAGAGAAAAGAGAAAAAGAAAAGTTACAAAATGATCCGATCTGTGATACACGTTAGTCAAAACTCTGTATTTTTACATTTATGTTGTAACTTTCTATTTGGATAGTTGAACTACTGCCACCTTTATGTCTTGACTGACAATAAGGGTGATTGTGTTTCAGTTGTTCCTTGTGAAAGAAATTTTAGTGTCTGTATTTTAATTGAAGTTATAATGCAAACTGCTTGCACTCCTTACTTGTCTGTAGCAATGGGGCGTGAGTAGTTACTTATATCCTCCAACGAGAGGTAAACATATGTATAATACTGATTAAATTATGGAAATGTTCATGTGTTACATATTTATATATCTACGTATTTTATGCTTCATGCATGATACAGTGATATACGTAATTTCGATGTTGTGCCTGAAATTATGTCATCAATGCATCATCAACTTGTCGGTTAAATAACCACAGTGTTCCTATCGGTATGGCTTGTCCTTCACCGGAATACTAAGGATGTTCTACTGATGCATGGTACAAAACCTAAATGATCTTCATGAATGGCTTGTCCTTTTGAGTTATTAGAGTTTAACTTATATATATATAACTATCAGATTAATGACCTAAGTGATCCTCATGAATGGCTTGTCCTTCTGGATTACTAAGATCGTTTAACTAGTATAAATGATAATATTCCCAATCGAATATCTACGACATTCCTATCGGTATGGTTTATCCTCCACTGGAACGCTGAGGATGTTTAACTGGTATATATGTATCACAGATGGAGTCAAGTGAATAATTCAAGTGTTCCTCATGAATGGCTTGATCTTTTTGGTTCACTCGAATTAGTCAGTTGGCACATCTATAACCAGCTAATCTTAGAAATTGTTGTGTTATGACTTAATACCACCAGTTAACCTACGAAGTGGTTGTGTTATGGTTTATTATGTATGCACCTACTATTATGACGTTAATTGAAGAATTCAAGTATTTCTCATGAATGGCTCGACCTTCTGGTTTGCTTGGATTACTCAATTGTCATGGATACCACCAGTTCACCTAAGAAGTGACAGTGTGATGATTTATATACACCAGACCTACTAGTTGACTTGCCAGTAACATGGAAGTTAATTGATGTAAGGTAGCATTTCTAGTACTTGACCAGTATAATGCATATGAGATCCTTAAACTGAAGGATACTTTTTTATATATTTGTCTTCTATCAATTTATTTGCAACCAACCTTTTAATCAAACTAGTTATCAATCTAAGCTCACATTACAAGGTATCACATGCTGTCCTATTTGAAATAACAACTTTACTATTTTATTTTATTTCTTGATGACACACACTCTTCGTGGGATCGATACTTGGACTTAAAATCGAAAAAACTACAATTCGACCACTTATACTTGGGTGTATAATATTAATCCAATCATGAAAAAGTGCAAATCAAATACCTTGGAGAGACCTTAAGAGTTGTGTGGTTATGATGGTGGTGCAGTGGAGTCGTGAGAGAGAGAAAGAGTGTATGTGAATGAGAGAAAGGAGAAAGGAAAGTATAGGGAAGGTAGAGAGGTGGATGGCCTTTGGTAGTGTGTTTTACGATTTTAGTGGGATTTGAGTATGTGTGAGAGAGAGAAGGAGAAAGAAGGAGGGAGACAAGAGTGTGTGGTGGTGTGGTCTGTGTGTAGAGGAGGGGGTGTGCGCGATGATTTTGGCATAATGAACAAACTGACAGATCTCTCCCCTAGTGAAATTGAGTTTGCTTAGAGAGACAAAAATTCCATAGCAAATGGATGTTGAGAAGTCATAATGAATGATGATGAAACTCTTTACAAATGACTTGCTCACTAGTGAGTTCTCGAACAGGATCCTATCACTCAAAAAGAAGGGTTAGAAGGGCGTTGGAGTTTTTTTTGGCATGACCTCTCCGATGATCAAGTCAATATTTGAGAGAAGGTTTGGAAACACACTGTTCTATTACTTGGGTAAGGTTTTGCGTACGTTAGACTTGGGTTTGAGAGTGTTATTTATACCTCCCTAGAGTCAATCATTGTGGACAAATGGGTCCCTTGGGTGGAAGACTCTTCATTGGCTCACTTGGAAGGCAACATATGGTGCATAGTCCTTGAGCAGAGTGTCTTTCTTTTCACATGGCAGAAACTTCTGCATTTAATGCTCAGATCTCCAGGCATTAATATTCATCTTTTAGACCTTGCTAAGCAAAAAAATATGTCCCATCCTTCTATGGGGGTCATTTAATGTGCCCTAATTGTGGTTGCAAATGCATAGGGGCACTTTCATCCATTACCCCAAAGGGGTTAAGATTTCAATGCTTTGTACTTCGCACACCTTTACTACTGGTTATGGGACTGTTTTCCCTGCCATTCTGGCTTCCTTTGGAAGGGTGATTGATGATTGACAGCCAATCCTACCCCCAGATCATGATAACCTACTTGTCCTTGGTCACTGGTATGCTTGCATCAGCTAGCCTTCTCCCTCTTTCTATAGGAGCTTATCATGGTTATTTGGCAGGGACCATCCATCAAGACGGCCACCCATATTTTGCTGATGCTTAGGACTTCACATCAAGGACACGTGTCAAGTAGTGAATCCTTTAGGGGACTAAGTGTCGAGGGCACGTGTCAATCGGGAAATTCTCCAGGGGACCTAGACACCAGGGACAAGTGTTATTTTGTAAGGCCCTTTGAGGGTTCTCATGCCAGGAACACATGTCATGCCAGGGGAGCCCCTAAGTTTTCCCCACCGAGGACACATGTCACTCCACAAGAGCTCCAAGGATATTATGTCAAGGACTCTTGTCGTCTTTGCATCAATCCTCAAATGCATCCCATCAATTACCCCTAGCCCTTGATTGTTGTACAAACTGGATGATGTGGTGCAGGAAGATGAAAGGGCTTGATTCCCTATCTCTTTGTGTAGCCACTTTCCCGTCGTTGGGGTCTATGCTATCTTTAATGTGCCTCCTTCATTCTCTGTGAGCAATGATGACCCTTGGCCCTATTTAAAGAGAGCCTTCTCCTCCTTCTTCCACCTTTGCCAAACCACTGCGTTCAAGAGTTCTTCGCTGGAGTTCCTGCAAAAAGCAACAGTTCGTCAGAAAGCCATCAACTCTTTAGAGCTCACTAGAGAGAAAAGCCACCAACTCTTTCTCTCTTTTCGAAATTCTATTGTGGTGAGACCTACTCTTCGTCTATTTTTGGGTTCTAGTGAGACCCATTGGTGAGTAACCTCCTATTTTCCTTGTACTGGTGATCATCCCCTTTCTGCCTCCCTTCTTTAGTTGTTTCTCTCTCTGGTTCCTACCCTTGAGTCTTTTTCTATTTATTCCATGATGAGGTGACATCAAAATACAAATATAGGCACTGATAAGGCTGGTTCCTCGAGGCAGAGGAAGTATACGATCAAGGGTCTCCACCAAATCACCAATTTTAGGGCCCTCCATTCGATTCCCCTATAGTGTCGACGTCAGCATCGAGGCGACTATGCCATTCTTCACCGAGACCATCATAAAGGTTGGGTGGCATTAGGTTTCCTCTCCACTCTATCCTTCTTCACTTCTTGTCCTGATTTTGTCTCTTCTTGGGGCGGTGTTGCTTGAACACTTTTAGGATCATCATGGGGTGTTGCCCTGAACGAATCCCTTCAAGTCAATCTCGCCCTAGAGGAGATTCTTTTCTGCTACTCTTTGGTGAGAGTGACACCCCAACAAAAATTATATCTAAAAGCCTAAGACCTCGCCATGTATCTCGTGACACACCTGCCATAATCCAACAAGGGGTATAAAAAAAACCTCTCACAACTTAGCATCTTTGCCTCCCCCTCGCCACTCGGCATTTTTGCCTACCTTTCACCACTCGGAAGTTCAATAAGGAGCTTGGCATCACTAGGCAAAGCTTGCCACTCAGAACGCTTGCTCATGCCACTCTCGGTAAAGCATGCTTGCCACTCGAACAGAGCTAGCCTACCACTCGGCAAGGGTAAGCCTCTACCATTTAGTAAGGGCAATACAAGGCCACTCAACAAGGAGCAAGAGAGAAGCTTCTTCATGCCACTCTATAGGTCCAAAAGCTAGTGCAAGACCTCTCTCGTCCATACTTGGCACCTAAGACAACTAAAGTTGAGTCCAACTCAGTGAAGCAAATACCACTCCAAATATTTAGGAGCTGGGAATATGGCACCGAGGAGTTAGAGTCCCAATGAAATGCTACTCCAATCAATCAGGGGCTAGCAATAAGGATCAAGGACCAAGAGTCCTAGTCTAGGTCTACCCTGTGTTTCTAGTTCCTGGTGACGAGGTCAAGCCAATCACTCTAGATTTCGGGTTCGATTGTGACACATCTCCCTACTACTATAAATAAAAGCCCTAGGTACCAGGTAAGGCATTCAATCCCAGCCTATTTACTCTATATTTTTCTTTGACTAGCTTATTGACTTAAGCATTGGAGTCCCTTTGGCTGCCTCTGGCCATCGGTTTACTTAGATGTTCTCTTGTCTTGCAGGTTCATCAAGGCTTCTCTGCCCACCCTCTCTGTCCGTACAAGATGGTAACCCTCCATGCACACTAATTAAGTTAAACCGTGAAAAATAGCACCAACCTTGTTTACGTGAGTACTTAAAGTTAAGCAATAGTTTGCATATACATTTTTCTTTTCAAAAGAAGCCCCATAAACATTAAACTACATCAAGTTTTACATAATTGTACACAATGTGATAGCTAAGAGTTATTATACTTCACTCAAGGCCAATACTTAAATGCATAGCCCATACTTGATATCACAAAAAAAATTAAAGACAACACAAAAGAATAATGCACCTTGATGGAATATACCGATATATTTGTTCACTCACATCTGTGAAAGTAGAATAGAATTCCTTTGAATTCAGACCTATGTGAAATGTAAAGGCATGAGGTGGTCAAATATATATAGTTATCATGGACAAAATGATCTGAATTACATTGTTGTCAAAATTGCTTGATTTTCTAGCAAAAAGGAGCAGTCCATAGTAAAAAATCTACCACATCGAGAGCTGCATGGAGTCAAAAAGATTTCGATGAACATAATATTGTAAAAATATTCCACCACAATGCTACAAATCCAACAACAAAATCAACATACTTAAGTTCACTTTGATGGAAGTAGTAGCCAATTTTGTAGATGTGGATTTTGGGAGGTCTCCTTCCAGCAAAACTGCTCAATCATGTTTCTTGATTGTCTCATTTCCCATTTCAACCAAATTGTTGCCTGAATGAATGTTGCCCAAAATCTAATGATAATTCTAAATCAACATGTAGTTATAGAAAGTTAATAATAAGAAATTTTTAAATATTAGATTACCATTTCCATCAATGTATTTAATAAAAAATACATGAATAGTAAGGAAGTGGTGTACATTGCATATGTGGTTATGCCAATTGCGATAGAGTAAAATATTTCAAATTCTCCATCAAAACACAGAATATCACTGAGTTTGAGAAAATTCTAAATCTATTATCATGCAAGTTCGAGAACTGGGATTTCTTTGGAGGCTACACAATTGATGTGGAATTGGTACATATTCTACTTTTGTTAATACAAGAATTTCATAAAAGCTTATAATCAAACAACTAATGAGCAGTGTTCTAACACTGGAAGAAAATGCATAAGCTCACATCAAGTGTGTGTAGAACAGATATATAGTTCAAGCAATGAGAGAAACAATACATATTCAAGCTTTCGTAATACAAAGAGAGGGGTAGAAATGTTTCAATTGGTGAATCATGTTTTTAGACTTGTGTAAAGCAGTACTTGAAAATGGTTGGGAATGGAAGAGGCATGGCATGATCCAACTTGTAATTTATATTTAAATTCATTGAAGAATAAATTTTCTTTGAGAATTTTTTGAGCCATAAAAAACTTCTTATTCGATTGAGAAGAGAGAGCGAAAGAGAGACGAAGGGTGTATAGTGGAGAATGAAATACTAATTTGCTTGATCATTTTCCCTAGCTTCCCATATGGACCTGATTATGTGTATGGCTTATAATGAATGGTGAGTGTCACTCTTGCTCAAGCTCATGCAAGAAGTAGGGAGATTGAGTGTGGATGAACAAAAACGTGTGTGAATATGTAAAAATGCTCCCCAAGCATAGAGACTTATAGTGTCATGTTTTACATGGAATGGTATTCCAAGGTCGTCTCCACAAGGAAGGAAGGGTCAAGTGTTTTTGAAAGTGATTCGTAAAAGGGAAAAATGAAATATATTGTGATTTGAAGTTTGGCGGTTTGTGGTTTGAGAAATATGTAAGAAAAAAAGGGTTGGCTAATCCATAGAGTCCATTCCAATGGGAATGCCAAATCGATTCATTCCATTCAACTAATAATGCCTAGGTGTTCAATTGATTTATAGGAAGCGAGAGATGAATGTTGTTGCTTGGACAGGAGCATACCATGTGACAAGTATATGGTGTATCAAAAGCCTACAACCACATTCATCCACACTCAACCTAGTCAAACCAAACACTTTACACTACGAGGAAGAATGCAAGCGAGTCGATTTCACATACCCAAGAGGGAATCCCTCTTGGATTAGTCAATTAAAGGTTTAGTTATCCAGGATAAAGGCAAGAACAAACATGAAAGAGAAACACATGGTAATAAAATCAAACATCAACTTGCATTAAGTAAGGAGAAGTTTAAACTACAAAACAAATGGTATTCATACTAAAAAATGTAGAGCTTGAAGGGGACAAAACCCAAATGCAACAATGAAAAAAGGGAACCCTAGCCATACTAAATACAACTTCAAATAAATTAGATTAAAGTGCAAAAGGGAAGGATTTGATGTAAAATGAAGCTTACTACATTGAAAATGGTGAAGGAAAATGTAAAAACTAACTTTCTCTCTCTAGAACATCATCTTCTTCCTTGGACCTTCTCTCTCTAAAAGCTTGACAATGTAAAAGTTCTGTCTAATTTTTGTCCATCACCTCTCTATCCCCGAGTGTGCAAAGGTCAAAAGCATTGGGTATATGTTCACCAAAAAGGCTTCCAAAAAATTCAGACAAAGCATGGCCCCTTTCCTTTTTCTCTCTTCATGCATAAAGGTTGAATGCAGAGATTTGAAGACTGAGGTAGGGTGTTGAAGTGGTCAAAATCATCATTAGAATAGTAAGAGTGGGCCCTCTTAGCTTATGGAGTCATGTGGAAGGTGATCTGGAGCTTCTAGGTTCTTGGTACCGGTACCAAGTGATGAGGTACTTGTACCTCGACAAGCAAAGGGCTCAAGTACAGGTAGCTAGTGATGAGGTACCGGTACCTACTTTATTTCCTCCATTTTGAATAGCAAAGGCACAAGTTAGAGGTACCAGTACCCAAGGCACAAGGTAACAGTACCTAAATTTCAGAAGGCTTAGGTGTCGGCAGCTAGTGATGAGGTACCGGTACCTACTTCATCTCTTCATTTCACAGGCTAAGGTCCAAGTGCTAGGTATTGGTAGCTAGTGATGAGGTATTGGTACCTTAATTCTAGAAAGCTTAGGTACTGGTACCTACTCTACCTTTTTTGAGATTTTTAGGATTTCGAGATCCCGAGCCATTTGTCTTGAGTTCCTTTCTTGCCTATTAAACACAATCATGTTACAAGGTGATTTATGGATATACTTACCATCCTACCACCTGCAATCAGTTCATTCTCCATTAATCTCCAATTGAACCCAAATTTCCCACAATTCATTACAAAAACAAGTTAAAATGGATGCAATGGGGCTATTAAATGTGCAATGTGTTGGAACGAAAATCCTAAGAATCATTGACAGCGAGAATGTATTGAACACAAAAAAAATTTCTTTAAAACCCTACAAGGCGGAATTAGGGTTTACCTTTCACATTGCTCTAGATTGATCTCATCTCAACACAAACGCAGAAACTGAAGACAGACACTGAAAGTTGCTCACTAAACCTCACGATCTTNATCTCATCTCAACACAAACGCAAAAACTGAAGACAGACACTGAAAGTTGCTCACTAAACCTCACGATCTTCTGTTGTATATCCTCCAACGCCAAAAATTGGGATGCAATGTGGGTTGTAAGAACCTCCGAACATCTGCTCTCTCTCTCAACCTCTCTAAAAAATGGGAGTAATGAATTGATGCTAGTTTAGAGAGCCTAGAAGTCTATATATAGGCTACAACAAAAACTCTAAGGAGAAATAAGGATCGGGCTTCCAGTGGGCTTAGAATTCCTACGTTCAACCTAGAACAAACATCCTATAGCCCATTAATAATATGTTAGTCCACTAAAAACTTAGTATTGATCCTTTGGGCCTTATCTTAAAATTATATTCGAGCTCCTTATTATTATATACTTAATAATCTCTCCACGTTTACGATTACAGATATCCATCATTTANAATAATAAGTTAGTCCACTAAAAACTTAGTATTAATCCTTTGGGCCTTATCTTAAAATTATATTCGAGCTCCTTATTATTATATACTTAANAGCCCATTAATAATATGTTAGTCCACTAAAAACTTAGTATTGATCCTTTGGGCCTTATCTTAAAATTATATTCGAGCTCCTTATTATTATATACTTAATAATCTCTCCACGTTTACGATTACAGATATCCATCATTTAAATAAATTACTAATAATTATATATAATTGACTTCTTTTATTCCTTGAGACCTTACCACTCAACTTATTTGTCATGTCGGATAATTAAATCTACCTGCAGGGTTTGACATAGATAAAACTTATGAGCTTCTTCAAGAAGACATCATTAACCCATTTAAATTTTAGGACGTGGTCTCCTTTAATAATTAATTTCTACCATACAAATAACATCGTCTTCCAATTCACCGAGCTTATTAATTCAATATGAATCTCACTCTTTGATGAATTAAAGTGACAATCATTATATGCATGTGGCGATTAAATATCTCGGGATTAAGAGCATAAGCAATCATAATAATTATGAGGTATTTATTATCTTATTGAATCACTACAATATAATAACCTCAACAAGGGTTTGTTCAATACACAAAGTGTACTAGCGCAATAATCCA